ATTATTTATGCTATCTTCATTATATTTAGTGAAAAACTATCAGAATATCTTCATCAAATTCAACCAAGAAAAATTTTGTTATATAATTGAATTGAATTTATTTGGAAATGAGTATAATACACTGATAATAATTAACTAAATATTTATAATACTTATCTCATAATTATAAGATTTATTTTGACTAAACTTAAATTAAAATATCTTTAATCAAAATATTTTATATCATTAAAATGCTGGTTCCCCCATATACATATATATATATATATATATATATATATATAATTCAGGAAGTAAAATAACAAAAGAGTGAGATAATATATTAAGAATAATGAAGATTTAAATCCATGCCACTAATTTTTTCTTTTTATTTACATATCTAACTCCTAAACTTTAATTTTTACATATATACCGCTTTGATTTAGTTAATTATAGATAAATTCTCTCTTAAATCAAAGGTTGATATATTTTGATAAACTTTAATGCAATGTGTCTTAAGAAATTGCAATATTGCCCACCATCATTTTGGGTAATGTGTTAATCGACATGCACAGATACAACTACTCTATAAGTTAGCGACCCTCAAAAAAGAAATCACTCGTTTTGTGCAATGAGTGATGACTTAAATACAAGTAATATAATAAATATAAATAATTTCTAGTTATATTTAAAAAAAATAAATATCATAATTATAACATCTTTTACTACGAATAGTAAATCATTTTATTAATAAGGCATGACGTATCACTATTCATTAAATTTTATTCTCTCTCTATCTCTTCTTATTTACACATGATTCATTTGGAGTGATTCAATGACGAATGCTGATTCAACATAAAATGGGATCGGCTATATGAATCAAATTTCTCCATTGTGTCTTATCGAGTGTCATACTTTCATTTAATTCAAATAAATTAATATTATTTATTATACAATATGCCTAAATATTTTTAGGTCTGCATCCGCCTTTCTTGAAGTCAAGCATCTGATGATCGAGTCAGGAGAGCAGATATATTAGTTTTTTGTATTTTTAAATTTTTAAAAATATAATTGATTGGTATACTTTTTATATATTTTTTGTTTTTTATTTTTAAAATATAAATCAAATTATTTTTTAAAATAACGAAAGCAGTTCTTAAATTAGCGATATATTTCAACCAAACGCTTCCTTTTAATTTAAGGGTCTGTTTAGGGCAGTTGTAGCTTATTGAATAATCTCTTGATAAGCTGATTAAAAATAACTTGTTGATAAGCTATGTGCGGTGTCTATTACAAATTTTTTTTTTTTTTGGAAAAGCCAGACCGCAGCCAGTAAGTTCCCACCGCACCTAGATAGATGCAGCGAGAAAACACTGTTTTTAGCTTTTTGAAAACTTATAAGCTACCAAAATGCAGTTTACCCAAACAGACTATGTGCATTTTCAAAACGTCACCGTACTAAATAAGCTGCCCCAAACAGACCCTAAATCTAAACATAAAAGTAAATAAAATAAAATAAAATAAAATAATAGAAAACGAAATTGGGTTTTGATAAATGGACCATGTTCTCCACGTGCATGCTGACATTGGGCCTCTCACACAACAAACAATCAGATGGTTGAGCCCAACTAACTAAGACCTTATTACACTCTTTTGATATAAATTATAGAGAGAGGGATTATAATATGTGAAGTTTCATATATGTACCTATTTGATTGAATTTTGGTTGGCACGATTAGCTCGATTAATTTGGATTTGTCGATCCTAAATTTTTAGTGAGGAGCTTCTATTGGTTGATTGATGTTATGCTATTCAACAGATGATGAATCACCATAACCCGATGATAGTTCACTTCCCAAAAAGGAGAGTTGAATGGATGATTTAGATATTTCATGACATTGTTACATCTTGATCCCTGATAAGAAACCACATAGGCGTCTGTGGGATGACTGCTAATATTGAAGAGCCCAGTTTAATCGGGTTCGGATTCTGACCATCTGGATATATTTCGCCTCATGGACTCTAGCTCGGATGGTTGCACCTAGTCCGTATTAATTTTGACTGTGTTTCAGGCCGTTATGTTCGATTATATAAATGAGCCTCTGTGTCTCTTATGCTCGTGTGCCCTCACTAACTATACTTTTCTATCTACTGGATAAATGGATCTCCTCAAGATTGGTACTGACACATTCATGATATACAACCATCATCTCCCACGAAGATTACGTAATCCCTCACTGATTTTATTCCTATCATTCAAAGTAATTTAGCTTTTAGAAGATTTAATGAAGAATCAATGGACATATGAAAGGTAAATTCACATACATAGCTCATAATTCTTACGTATTTACCTATTAATCGCACACATACTTATATTTATATTTTTAATACTTTTGTTGTGATAAACCCATGGATGAAAAACTATATTTCATTTTTAAAAATAGTTAATAGTGATATTAAAGATTTGAGTGCTATATATAAATATTAAAATGTAGGTCTTAAATATATAACAATATAACTGCATAACAATTGTGTGGCATGTATCTAAATGCCCCAATGGGAGGGCACCCATTTCTAAAGAGCGAACAACTATTCCCATAGACAAAAAGTTTTGATTAGGGGTTTGTTTGAGGTTGCTTTAGTTTTCTTAA